ATGAACTTTAATCCATACCTCTCATTATATACAAAAATTAACTCAAAATGGAACTAAATGTAAAACTAATGTAAATGTAGAACTAAAGGTAAAACTTAAAATTATGAAACTTCTAGAAGAAAAGATGGGAGAAAATTTTTTGTGACCTGGAATTAGGGAAAGGTTTCTTAGGTGACACCAAAAGCACAATCCATAAGAGAAAATAATTGATAAATTGGACTTTGTCGAAATTGAGAACTTCTGACCTTTGAAAGTACTGTTAAGAGAATGAAAAGACAAGGCACAGAATATATTTGCAAATTACATATCTGATAGAGGACTTATATCCAGAATATGTAAAGACCTCTAAAACTTAATTAAAAAAACAATTTAAAAAATGGAAAAAAGATTTGAACAGATACTTTACAAAAGAAGATGTATGAATGGCAAACAAGCATATGAAAAGATGTTCAACATCATTAGTTATTAGGAAAATGCAAATTAAAACCACAAGATAGTATACATACCTATTAGGATATCTAAAATTAAAAAGACTGACCATACTAATTAGTTGGTGAGGATATGGAGCAACTGGAATTCTCCTACATTGTTGGTGGGAATATAAAATGGCATAACCACTTTGGAAAACTGTTTGGCAGATTCTTAAAATGTTGAATATATGCCATTACCACATGACTCAGCGGGAGAGGAGCAGTGGTATTACCAAGGGTATGAGAAAGCTTGGGGGGCTGAAAGATTTGTTCATTATCTTGATTGTGGTGATGGTTTCACAATTGTATACATATGTCAAAGCTCATCAAATTATGCACAGTCCTCCCTCTATAGCCATGGGATCCACATCCATGGATTCAACCAACTGCAGATGGAGAATATTCGGAAAAAAAAATAGACAGTTGCATCTGTACTGAACACATACAGACCTTTTTTCTTGTCATTATTCACTAATCAATACAATATAACTATTTACATAGCATTTACATTGTATTAGGTATTACAAGTAATCTAGGTTTGACTAAGTATATGGGAGGATGTGGGTAGGTTATATGCAAGTATTAATACTATGCCATTTTATATAAGGGACCTTCACAAGGGGTCCTGGCACCAATCCCTCATGGATACCGAGGGTGACTGTACTTTTGGGGGGCTGGGGTTGAGGGAGCCAGAAAGATACTGTACTTTAAAAACATGCAGTTGCTTGTATGTTGATTATACCTATATTAGTTAAAAATGGTCACACTTTTGGACTCAGGAATTTTACGAGGAAATTTATCCTGAGGAAATAACGAATGTAAATCTTTTATCTCAGGGGGTGTTTGTCAGCACGGAGATGTCTATCCTAATGGAGGATTAGGCAAATGATGGATTCCTGTGCAGTCACTGAAAACTGTGTCCTATGAGAATAATATTAATGGCATGCAAACATTTTCAGAAAAGGGATAGATGACAAAATTGAATGTACATGCAACCGCTATGGAAAACAGTATGGTGGTTCCTCATAAATTTAAAACTAGAATTACCATATGATCCAGCAATCCTACTTCTAGGTATATGCTCAGAAGAATTAAAAGTGACATCTCAAAGTAATATTTGCACACCAGTTCATAGCAGCATCATTCACATAGTCAACAGATGGAGCAACCTATTGTCCATCAATGGATGAATGGATAAGCAAAATGTGCCATCTACATATACATATACACACAATGGACTATTATTCAGCCTTAAAAAGGAAGGAAATCTTGGTACATGCTATAACATGGGTGAACCTTGAGGATGTTATGCTAAGCAAAATAAGCCAACCACAAAAAGATAACTACTGTATGCTTCCATTTATATGAGGTTTCTAAAGTAGTCAAATTCATAGAATGGTGGTTACCAAGAACTAGGGGGTGAAATGGGAAGTTGTTCAGTGGGTACAAAGTTTCAGTTTGGCAAGAAGAAAAAGCTATGGAGATCTGTTTCACAACAAAGGTGAATATGCTTAACACTACTGAATTATATACTTAAAAATGGTTAAGATGGTAATTTGTGTGTTATGTGGGGTTTTTTTCAACCTCAATTTTTTAAAAAATGAGGGTATGGGATTTTTGTCAAAAAAAATTTCAAAGTGTCCAAGAAAAAGATGGAAAGGATAAATCCCCCAATACTAATGATGTCTGAATTTGGGGATAGTAAATGATTTCAGTTTCCTCTTGATATGCTTTAGCATTTTTCAAGTTTTATGCAATAATCATGTTCTTGTTTTATAAGTAGAAAAAAAAATCTCAAGGAAGGAAACAAATGTATTGCCTTTAATCCCTAAAAAAAAGTCCTAAAAGCGCCTGGCCCAGAGAAGGTCCATGTCATGTCTTGCTTGGTTCACCACAGTTGCAGTAGCAGCTTTCTTGCTCTCGTTCTGCCCTGGGTGGAGTGGGAGAGCGACAATAATCTTGCATCCATTTGCAAACGGTAACACCCTTCTAGTTTTCTTTCTTCAGATTAAATAATCCCAATTCTAGTTACCCTTTCATCTAAATTCCGTTGTTTTTCACATTTAATCCTATTACAGGCAGTCCTACCAGGAGTCCCATTAGTTGCCCAGAAATTTGCTGTATTGAATAATTCTTGGCCTGGTGCTATCACACTCTGATCTCCTCTCTTTGTGGCCATTTACTTATACAGGTCACTGATACCACTCGGAGGTGGAGCTCATAGGACGTGCGAGTGGAGATTGTCTATTAGGTACTTGTAGCAACACCGCTAGTGGCCTATAAATTGTCCTTCTTTCATAGCAGAACTCTGATTCTTAGCTGAGCACATTGCCACCTAGGTAAAAAAACAAACAAACAAAAAAATTATTTCCCAGTCTCCCTGCAGTTAAGTGTGATCATGATACCAAGTTATGGTTGTTTATATGTCGGCTACAGGATGTGTGGGCATTCCAGGAAGTCTCTTTGATAAGAAGGGAGTTCAGTCTTTTCTCTGCCTCTTCCTTTTGGTGGCCTGGAATGTGGACATGACAGCTGGAGCTCTAGGGCTCATCCTGGACCATGAGGACAAGGACCACACAAGGGATAATCAAGCAGAGGAGTGGGGTCCCTAATGAATTGTGGACGTGCCTGGGACTGCCTCCCTGTGCACTTCTTTTGCATGAGTGTGTTTAGGCCACCATTTTTCAGAGATGAAAAAGCAATTCCTAACTAACAATTTGTTACAAGAAGTGGAGTCTGCTGTAACAGAATCTAAAATGTGACTTTGGCTTAGTCAGGGGGGAAGGCCAATATTAAGGATTCAAGTATTGCAGGTTGGAATTTAAAATGTGGCTGTGCATTTTTTGACATGCCTCCCGCCCACAGGTGGGTTCTTTGTCCCCTTCCCTTGAACCTGGGCTGGCTTGCGACTACTTCCACCCACAGATTACCGTGGAAGAGGAGCTACCTGCGTTCCGAGGCAAAGTCACAATGGGCCATGCTGCTGCCACCATGTAACGCTCACTCTTGGAACCCGGAGTGCCATTTAAGAAGACCGACTGTCCCGAGTCTGCCGTGATGTGTCCACCACATCAAGGCCCTGTAGTTGACAGTCCTCGCCGAGCCTTTCATCCTTGTCAGGCTTGCTGGCCCAGGCGCAGACATGTGAGTGCAGGAGTCACCTTGGAAGTGGATCCTTCACCCCGGCTGTTCCACACCCCAGCCTTTTGAGCCCCACCCCTGCCCCCTGGGCAGCTCAGGTCATTTGAACTGAGGCCCCAAATGTGGAGCAGAGAAGAGTTGTCCTTGCTGTGCCCCTTCCAAATTCCTGACCCACAGAATCTGTGGGTGTAATAAAATGGGGTGATTTTGTGCCATTACACTTTGAGAGGTTTTGTTGCTCAGCAATAGACAGCTGGAATAGTTGGTAATTGTTATTATCTTAAGATAAAAAAAAGTTTAATTTTCTTTCACAGAAAACAAGTCCAGAAATAGGTAGTCCAGGGCTGGTTTGGTCACTTCATAGTCAGCAAGAGCCCAAACCTGTTTATCCTCCTCGCTGCCTGAAATGTGGACATGATGGGTGGAGCTCCAGCAGCAATATTGCACCAGAGGCCAATCTTGAGGATGGCAGAAAAGAGCTGAAAGGAGTCTGGGTCTCTGATAAGAAATAAATAAATAAATTTCTATCTCATTTAAGCCACTGTAATTTTAGATCTTTAGGTAACAGATCAAAAGTAATCCTAATGGGCACAGAATTTGAATGCATGAGTTTAGAACTCAGGAGATTGGCTTGGCTAGAGCCAAAAGGTTGAGCATTTTCAAAGCTGAAGCAGTAGTTGAAGTCCTGAGTATAGATGAGATTGTTTAAGGAAAGCATAGAGTGAGGAGGGGGAGCGCTAAGTAACCTCGAGGAATACCAGCTATTAAAGGATAGCAAGCCAGGAGAGGCCAGAGGAGAGGCTTCCACCTTTCAGTGGGAAGAAATCCGGGACAGAAGGTGTCTGGTGAACCTGGCCTCTTCCCCTCTGTGGTCAGGGTGGGAGCCCCTCCTGTGGGCCCCCTGTGTCCACAGTTAACATGGAGCTTTCTCTTTGTATTGCAAGCCTCCATGTCTATGTGGGCCTCCCACATGGACCAGAAGGAAGCTCCTTTGAAGTTCAGGGTCCACGGCTAATCCTTTTCATTGTTGCAGTGCCTACAACAGTGACTGGTATGCAATGGGCAGGCAATAATTATTTGCAAGTGGAACTGAATTGAACTGCTGTCCAGCAAGGAAGTCTCGGGAAGGGAGGGTATCAGGAAGGAAGGAGTGGCCTGCAGTGCCACATGCTGAGAACAATAAAGTCAGATAAGGCCTGTAAAGGGCTAGTGGCATTTGACTCAGGTTATCTGGCAATTAGGAGGACATTTGTGACCTTGGGGAGAAGTATTTTCATGGGGAGGCAGGAGCAGATGTTTTTTGGGTGACTAGGCTGTGTGACAGTGGGTGGAGTGCTGGTCACTCTCTTGGGAAGGAAAGGGGGAGACAATGAGAGAGAGACATGAGAGGAGGGTGGGATTTGTTTATTTTGTCAACTCACCCATGCTTATAGGCAGAGAGCAGGGAAGCTGAGAAGGAGCCTTCCCTGACCTCTGCAGGACACGGTGTGCATGTCCCTGTCAGAATTGATAACACTTTTGTTGTTTCAGTAGCTAACTCAGCATTTAACTTCTCATGTATAAATAAAAATCTTTTTGTGTCCCCACCTCCCAATGAATATCCAAGTTCCCAAAAAGCATAGACTGTTTAGAGCTTGCTGTGCACAAAGTAGGTGCTCCATTGATGTTAATTATCTTTGCTTCCTTTCAACCAGTGTTTCCTGAAATATGTCTGAGCTGGAACAAGCATGGATTGGCATAAGTTGGTGCTCCACTAGTTGCTAACGTGGCTTTGTAAAAACAGAGGGGCACCTCACCACCATGGGCCCCTGCAGTAGGAATGCAGCTATCTGAGGAGAAGAGGGATGGGATGGTCTACTCACACCTTCTGCGTGCTGAGCAGGAAGCTTGGAGGGAGGAATGAGGCTAGGAGTTCTGCACATTTTGCAGCATCAGATAATGAAAGCAGATGAGTCAACAGCCTTTACCCACATGGCCATTTTATTCCATGCTCAAATAATAAAATGACTTTATAAAACTCATTTTACATACTTTGATGAATCCTAGGCATGGCTGTCTTCACCTTACAGCAAACAAGTCCTAGCGCTTGGCTCACTCTTTGATAATTGAAGGGGAGCCTGTTTGTTGTAGTCAGAAAGAAAAGTCAAAGTAGAGGCAGCCACCAATTTGGCAGGTCTCGAAGCCCAGTTTATCAGTGGCTCCAGGGAACATGGATTCACGCTTTCCAAGCTTAAGGGACAGAGTGGCATAAATCTATGCCTCTCACACTTCAATATGCATAGGAATTCCCTGGAGAGTAGAGGTGGCAATCTCCTTAAAAATGCAGATTCTGGTTCAGCAAGGCTGGGCTGGGGCCTGAGACTCTGCATTTCTAACCAGTTCCCTACCACACTTAGAGTAAAGTAGCATGGATATAAATCAGGGGCCAATTTTTCTAAACTTTTGGTGCCTGTCACCATCTTCTCACAGCCAAAGGACTGCTCAAGAGCATCATGACCCAGAAAAAGGACCATGCCCTCCAGGTTTGCTGGGCTTCACATGGACCAAACGTCTTCCTGCCTTTTGGTTTCGCGCTCTCTGGGCCTGTGCGTGGCTCCGGCTGCACATTTCTTCGGAGAAACCATCTCCAAGGACAGGCTTCTTCCTCAGAGGGCTAACCTTGTCCTTTCTGAGTAAAATTCTTCCTGATTTCATTCTCTCTTGGTGACTCTCCAAGAATTGGGGTGTACTGGCCACGGTATTCACATGACAAATAAGAGGAATCACATTTAGAAATAAATAATCCCATGTGGAAGCCCGAGCGGTAGGGTGGTAAGAGAGCCAGGAGGTGCTCTCAGAGCAGGTCCGTCAGTGAGCATCGGCTCTTGGCATGGGCACATGAACGGCACCGGCCCCCTGGCACCTCGCTTCATTCACCTGCAATGACAGGGAGCCCCAGACCTGTCTGAACTGCATGCCAGATGCTGGTTCAGTGAGCCTGAGCTGCAGACGTGGGCTTTGCCTGGCATTTCCCTGGAGCCAAATGCCTGGTCGAGATCACATGGATCGCCAGCCTGAGACGCCCGACCTCAGTCACCTGTTTGGCTTTGTTGTCGCAGAGACCAGGATGCCTCCAGGGCTCCATCTAGATCTTCCCGCCCGATGCTTCCTATTAATACCCGATTCATAAAAATAAAAATCAGAAAGTATAATTGCCTATAAAAATCACGAGAATATAATTGCCTTAAAATTTAAAATAGTTTTCCCAGAGAAACCCGGAGTGTTTCTCAGGTCCTCCTGCGCCTTCCCCTGGGCCTGCCATGCGAGGAGGCAGAGGCAGGGTAGAGAGGGGAGGGCTGCGGCCCTCCAGCTCCAGCTCTGAGTCGAGGTTTCTGGGGACCAGCCTCTTCCGCAGGCTTTTACCGTCCCCGCTTTATGCATGAGTGGGAGCTGCGGTTATCAGTCCGTCTTCTCTGCAGAGAAGCTCTTAAAGCAATTCCAGCAGGTAGAAGACCCCAGTGCAGCTTATTCTTGTCTCTCTCTCTCTCTGTCTTTCTTGGCTTTTTAAAATTTTTGGTTTTTGGTAGGACGCCCAGGCCAACCTGCCTGCAGTGCTGGCCAGAGAGCATGGCCGGCTGTGTGGCCCGGTCAGCCCCGGTGGGCTCTGTGCTTCCGACAAGAGAAGCTGACACAGGATCCGTGCGGCCCCCCAGGGCCTAGGCGGGACACTGGCTCTTCAGGCGTTTCTTTTTCTCCACTGCCAGACGCAGGGCCTGAAGGAGCTGGTCCTTGTTGTTCAGGATGTTGTACTCAGAGAGCTTCACCAGCTTGTCAAAGTTGGCCTCCGTGTAAGTCAGCTCCTTGGTGGCATAGGGGGTTTTGGGGCCATAAATGTCAACCTGGCCCTGCTCCAGCTCCTCGGGGCTTCGCTCCACACCTAGGGGCAGCAGAAGAACTCGTTACAGACCCTTATCATGTTAGGCTGTAATGACTTGTTTCCATATCTCTTTCCCCAAGGCCCACCCTGTGCACATGGACACACTCCTGTGTGAAAATGTGTGTGCATGTGCACACTCCCATATCCAAATGCACACTCCCACGTGCACACGCACACCTGTAGGCTCCTCAGGGCGGGGCGCAGCTTGCCCATTTGAGGATTGTCCTAGCACCAAAGACAGTGTCAGTGCCAGGCACATGACTGGATGTGAAAAATGTAGAATGACTAAAAGAGTAGGCGATGACATTACCAGCTCATGGGGGCGAGGGGCTGGGAAGGGGCTCCTTTCTTGCTAAAGCTAAGATTGGCCCAGACTGGAGCTAAGTCAGGCTCCCCCCTAAGTGCTATTACAAGACTCTGCAAGTCTAAAGACAGGAGCCTTCAGACCAAGGCCAGCAGGTGCTGGGAACTGAGCACAGAGGCAGCTCACCTGGCGCCTTGTACTTCTGGAAGGTGTCATTGATGAGTGGGAAGAAAATGATGATGGGGGCATCAGGTTCCTGGGGGTTCTCCATCAGGTAGCATTCCTTGAGACTTTTGTCATCGTCTTGCAGCTCGTATTTGGGGAAGTGGATGTTCTGCACGGTGCAGTACTCGCAGGTTTGCTTCAGGGGCTGGAATATCGCGGGAGGACACGTTTGAGTGTTAGGAGTGGGGGTGGATAAGAAACACAGAGTTCTTAGATCCAGCTTCCTGATGTCCCCGGCTGGCAACTCAGGTCCCCAACTGCTTTGCCAGTTTGTGGTATTTTGAGAATAAAGCTGAGTCAGGACAAAAGGCCTGAGGCAGTAGGTTGGTATGTGTCCAGCTGCAAGCTCCTTCCCCAAGTCAAATGGACGGAAGCCCTTTTGATGATGTGCTGCTCAAACTCAGACCTGGCTAGATGTGGGTGGCAGCCTGGGAGGGTGACTGGAGCCCAGCCGCGTATGGCCATAGCCATCCAGGCTCCTGCGGGACACGCAGGGACTTTGGAACTGAGCATCAATAGGGCTAGAAAGGGCTCTGAAAGGGTATCTGTAAAACATGATAGAACAGAACAAGCACTAGACTTAGTGTCAGAATCCCTTTAGCTCTGCTTCCTGTTCCACTGCTTACTAGCTGTGTGACCTTAAGCAAGCCCCTTACCCTCTCTGTGCCTTGGTTTCCCCATCTATAACATGGAAATAATAGCAGTTGTGCTGTCTACTTCAAAGAGCTGGTGTAAGGACCAAATGATCCTTTCTTACAAATGATCATTTGTAAGAAAATATATTGTTACTCATTTATACACTCAGGTCATCATCATTGTTGTCCTGATTATTTGTACTTCCCTGGATAGGGCTGTATTAAAGTAGACCAAAAATAGCTTCTTTCCATTAAAGGGCCAGAACTTTTCAAAAGTAAATACAAATAAACACAAGTCTCTGGTCCTGCTTCTTCAGTGCAATCTCATGGAATCTCATATTCACTGGGGGAGGGGGAGTGTGATAACTTTGAAAATGGGACATTATGAGCTCTTAAAGTGGTACAGAGCTTTAGAATGAAATGGGCTCTATTAAGGTTATTTTTTTAAAAATTCCTTTTTTTTTTTTTTTGTAGCTAAAGAATTGACAAATACAGTAAATGCTCAAAGGCAAGAATACATTCAAATTCAGATTTGCTAAGTCAACCTCAGGCCCTAAGAGCCAGCAGGCTGTCCCCTGAGGCTCGGGTGTCTAACTTCACACCATGACTGCTGCTTGGGTTTCTCTGATGCTGTCTCAGAGCCGGTAGGAGCGCACATTCTCCCAGTTCACGGCGGGGGAGGCCACTGAGTTCCGTGGCCTGTCTCAGCACAGGCTGCAGCTCCCGTGCTCAGGGTGGAGCCTTGCTTTGGGGCACTTGCCTTTGTCTGGGACCCGGCACAGTAATTGAGGTGGATGATGAGGTCGACTTTCCTCTCGGGCCTGAGGAGAGGTGGGTAACTGGAGTTGACGAAGAACGCAGTGTCCAGCAGGCACAGGTGGTTCGCGAACTCCGTCAGCTGGTTTGGGAAACCATCAAGTACTGTGTCTGAAAGCCAAGCCATCCGGTTACCAACACGCCTGGTGCCCTGGTCTCCACCAATGGGCAGAGGCACCTGCTGGGGACGCTGTGCCCTGCCCGGAGCTTCCTTCGCCTCAGCCTGTCAGGACGCCCACTGAGTCCCCGTGCCCTCTGGGTGGGCCGATGGAGAACAGCAAGTCTGTTTTTCTTTCTTTTTTTTTTTAAATTTTTTTTTTTTTGAGACAGAATCTCTCTCCCTTGCCTGGGCTAGAGTGCCGTGGCATCAGCCTGGCTCACAGCAACCTCAAACTCCTGGGCTCAAGTGATCCTCCTACCTCAGCCTCCCTAGTAGCTGAGACTACAGGCATGTGCCACCATGCCCGGCTAATTTTTTCTCTATATATTTTTAGTTGGCAAATTAATTTCTTTCTATTTTTAGTAGAGACGGGGTCTCACTCTTGCTCAGGCTGGTTTCAAACTCTTGACCTTGAGTGATCCTCCCACCTCGGCCTCCCAGAGTGCTAGGATTACAGGTGTGAGCCACCGTGCCTGGCCAGAACAGCAAGTCTTTTATGGGACATGTACAGAAAGCCCACTATGACCTAGCTTGTGGGGTAGCAGGAACTTAAGACCACCTATAAGTAGTGTAAACCCTGAGCCAGTGGTCCCTTCTGCTCTAGACGGTGAGTATGAGGATTCATAGGTTAGGCTTAAGCAGGCATTTGTAGGCCATGGCCAAATAAAATACCAAAAAAGCTGGAAAGTGAACCTTAAGAACCTTAGCACTGCAGGGGAGGCACTGAGCAGAAGCTGCAAGACCACAGTGTAAAGCTGGCTCTGCTCTTACCACGTGGGGGATCTTGAGCTGGGCCGTCCCTGCCCACTCCCAAGGGGAGCCCATTACAAAGCACCCCAGGAGCACAAATGCAGAAAGCAAGGGCTCATATTCTCCCATCTGTAAAATGAGACCAACTTTTACCTGCTGGGGTACAGATTCTCTATAGAGCTGGGGTACAAATTCAGTGAATTAAATACACACACCGCTCCCTGCCTCTGGACCCCAGCATTGTTCAAGACGACACTACCAAATGTGGAATACACCATGGCGGAGAATCTGCCAACTGACCACTGGTCGGAGGAGTTTTCTCCTTCTTTCTCCATGCCAGACTCAACATCTACTTCCTCCTCCTCCAAATGGAGGCGGGGCTCAGGGAGCAGCGAGGTAGGGTTACCTTTCCACATGGAGAACTCGCTGTTCTGGAGGTAGTCAGTGTGCAGCTGCAGCCCGGACAGGAAGTTGTGGAACTCAGACACAAATGGCCGATGGGTGAGGGTTTCTCGGAAAGTATTGGAGAGCCATGACGCTGGGATCACCACCGAGGTGTCCAGGATGTTGGCATCACATTTGGGGATTTCAGGCAGGATTGGCTCATCTTCTGCAGGGGACAGGAGAATGGAGGGTAGGTCACAAGAGTTGGGCTGCCCAGGTAAAGCCCCACATGGTTTCCGGGCACTCAGAGGTGAGCCACTGTAAGTGCAGCTCACGCCTTCCTTGCTGAGCTCGGAAGGCGCTGGCACTAGAGGCAGGAGGACCCAGGTGAGAGACACGGAACTGGGGAAGGGGGCGTTAGTGGAGAGTGAGTGCAACAGGTAAGGAGGGTCCCAGAGTCTGGACAGGGAGACTGGAAGAGTTATTTTTGTGCTCATAGATCCCTACCCTTGTCAGCTCTCCTGGGTGCTGGGAGGCTTCCTGCTGGGCCTCGGCACAGGCGTCATCTGCAGTCACCCTCCCCTCTAGACAGGGAAGCACCCTAGCCCCAGCTGCCTTCCCGTGTCTGCCGGCCGTAGGGGCAATGTGGAAACACATGGCAAGTGGACTGGTCCTCAGTTCGTGATCCATGCTACCCCCATCACCCAACCACGAGGGGAAGACAGCAAGCAGGTCACCCACCAATGTCATGTACTCTCTCCCTTGTCCACCTGTGGAAAAACTCCTCCGAGGTGTGGGACAGATTCCAGGCATCAAGCAGGTTCAGGGAGAAGATGCTGCTCCACAAACCTAAGGAGTCAAGGCCAGCCATGAGCAGCTCCACCCAGGAGCCCCCAGGCCTACCCAAACACTGGCTGGCTCTGCCTTGGCCTTGGGTCCCCCTCCAAGCCAGGCTGCTCAGGGGGTGAGACAGACTTTGATTTCCCTCTCCCCACGGTACAGCTCGACAGACACAGTGACCGATGGTCCCAGTCCTCCACTCTCCTCCCTCCCCTCGGTGCCAGGAAGCATGAAAGTATATCAGGCACAGCCCTAGCAGGGACTTAATGTGACAAGTACAGGCTTTGAGTTCAAGGCCTGATGCTACTTCTTGTATCAGTTAATACACCTAAAGTGTTTAGGACAGTGCCTGGCACATGGTGAGCACTTAATAAATGTAATACTATTTGTTATGATTATGGTTTTTAAATGTAACACACTAATAACAATACTCATATGAAATCTTTTACATACGTTAGCCCATTTGGATACTCTATAAGGTAGGTTTTACTCTTAGGCCCAATTTACAAGTGAGAAAACTGAAGGTCAGAGTGGTTAGGTGATTTGGCCAACTTCGTGCAGCTAGTAAGTGGGGAGCCAGAGTTCAAGCCCAAGCATTTTAACTACAGTTTTCTGAACTACATGCCCAATAGTGCAGGTGTTTAGGGGGAAGGAGAAGCCATTGTGTGGGGGGCTTCTGGGTGGACTTCACAGAAGAGATAGGGCTTGAGTTAGATATTCTGGGATGGGTTGGATTGGGATAGACAGAAGGGGAGCGCAGACAACTAGTTTAAATAAGGGCATGTTGTCGAGGCTGTAAACATGGGTGTGTTTTTGAGGTCGCCCTTAGACAGACGTGGTTGAGGCTGGAAGGACAGAACAGTAGGAGTGGGCATTGCAGCCAGGCCTTGCACTCTGGGGACCTGGCTTCTCATGAAGGACCAAGGAGCTTAGGGTAGGAGGCTGGGCCAGGCTTCCCTGGTGACTCCACCCTTTACCCTGTGGTCTCTCTGGCCCCTTGGAAGCAGGCACATTGCCGCCAGAAGCCAGGCAGGGGGTGGGGTGGAGGTTACAGAAGCTTCCATCTGAGCCCGCCATTCCCAGTGTGGTTCTGAGTGGACCCCAAGGAGACCACTGGAGGCCAGGACATTGGGAGAGTCCCCTCTGGTCCCCAATAACTTAGGAGCCCTCGTCTTGTCCTTCTGGGCTCAAAGGGCCACAGGGAGCTCAGGGCAGTCCTAGAGGCCCATCCAGGGGTAGGGTCAGGAGCCTCTCCTAGGAAGAGGTGATGTTGGCAAATGCCAAGAAGGTCACATGTTCAAGGGACAACCCAGGCAGCCTAGCACCAGGACAAAATCCTCCCAGTCATTCCTGTAATTCAAAGGCGGGCGCAGTGCCCAGGGGAGTCCGCCGTCGGGAGTCACCTAGCATGTAGCACATTCGAGGCTCAGGAATCCTCTTCATCAGCCGTCCCATGAAGAACTCGGAGCCAAAGAGCTCAGTGGGGATGAAAGCCCCATACTTCTGCAGGCCCACCTCGTAGGGGGAGAACTCGCACCACTCTGCATGGGAAGCAGCAGGGCAGGTGTCAGGCTCAGGCCAGGGAGCCATGCCCACACAGCCAGGCCTCCTCCTGTCTGCCGCCACCTGCTGCACCTGCTGCAACCGGCTCCCCGCCCTGGAGAGGCTGACACAGGCAGGCTGCAGTTCCCCCATAGGGCACTTGGGGGCGCCCGTGGCCGGCTTCTGGGGCCAGGCAAGGCTCGGCTTTGCAACCTGCAGGGCTCATTTGCTTCTCAAAGCCAGATGAGCTGGAGCTGAAACTGACCCCAAAGCTGGGCAGGTCTCTAGAGTCCCTCCCTCTGGACAGCTTAAGAAACACCCAGGATTCCTTCCTTTCATGACCTTTATTTCCCCCAGTCCCATTAAACAGGCCTCAGGGGAAGCCGCAGGACCGGGCCCTCCAGCGCCACCCGTGCGGCAGGGCAGATTGGGCAGCAAAGTGGATTTCTTCAGCTGTGCGCACAGTCTTCTGATGTGAAGGTTGGCAAAGGTGCGCAGGGTTGGGGACCTGGAGGTGCTGGGAGCCTTTGCCCACCAAGAAGAAACCCTTCCACCACCCCACCTCTTAAATCACCTGCCAGAGCGTTACCTCTGAAATCCTGGTTGCTCACGTCGTCCTTGACGTTGATGGTGAGGTAGATGGGCAGGGGGTTCTGGCCCCGGCACAGAGCAGCACGCTGCTCAGACAGTTTGCATTCATTTCTCTAGGGACACACAATGATTAAGGTGAAAAAGGAGACGAGCAGCCCGCGGGACAGTGCTGAATGAGAGGACAATCTGGACCCCTGCAGCCATCTCCTGGCTCCTGAGCCCACCAGGCTGCTGTGTAGGCCCAGCTGATGCCAGCAAACCCGCTCTCAAAACGCACCGGTAGAGTGTGCAGCACCCAGGCACAAGGACCGAGGTGGGACTGGTCTGCAGTTTAGGGTGTCCCTCAGCATCCCAGGGTCCTCTTGGCCTCAGGGGCCAGCAGATAAAGAGGAAGGAGTAGGGGAGGCTACCACTGCCCCTCTTTAGCCCCATTATCTTCCACCCTGCTCAAACTGGAGCAGCTCCATTTTTTTTTTTTTTTTAAATAGAGATGAGTCTTGCTCTGTCACTCAGGCTGGAGTGCAATGGCCCAATTGTTGCTCACAGCAGCCTCAAACTCCTGGGCTCAGTCTCCCAAGTACCTGGGACCACAGGCACGTGCCCCAATGCCTGGCTAATTTTTCTTTCTTTCTTTTTTTTCTTTGTAGAGACAGGGTCTTGCTATGTTGCTCAGGCCGGTCTTGAACTCCTGGCCTCAAGTGATGTTCCTGCCTTGGCCTCTCAAAGTGTTAGGATTATAGGCATGAGCCACCATACTCAGCCATGTTTTCTTTTTATCAGCTTGGCATGTTGGGCTCCTTCATAAAATTTGTTTGGGAGGAAAAAAGTTTCTTTTCTTTTTTTTAATAAAATGCTTGGAAACCCGAGCACTAGATGGTGGTCAAGGTCCCTCTAAGTCCCCAGAGTGCTGTGCTGTATAATCAGAGTGGGGAGCCTTGCAGATCAGCCTGGGCCACAGGCCACCTCAATAGCAAAGCAGCCATTGCAGATTAGGTCTTAGAGAGGTCCAGGCCCCAACCTCAGGCCAAGCAGCTGCCTGCTGGGTGACCAGCCCCAGTCGCCCAAGTGTGGGAAGGCCATAGAACTCCTGTGGGATGGCAAACACATGTGTGGGCCCCCTGACTTGTGAGTCTCCTTTGAAGGGAAACAGGATCATAATTGGGCCTCAAGATCTGGGTACCAAGAGCTGGCCATCCTGGCAGTAAAGTTGCAGACTTGGGAGAACCAGTCCACACCCATCGTCAAGGGGCCCGCGGGAAGGGGCTCCAGCCTTGGCCAGAATGGAAGAGCAGAGGCCTCCCAACATCAACCCTAGCCTTGCTCCCTGGGAACCCTGGCTCCTCCTTGTACCAAAGCCCCCTAAATGCTCAGACTCTGATGTAGAAAGCCTTGGTGCTTTTCTCCTCAACACACGGGGCACTGACTATTGTTAAAAATATTATTGTTCAAATATTCTTTAAAATATTAATGACCACTTATTGATGTAGTTCCCACTTAAGGAACAGTATAGAGCAGGGCCAGAATTTCAACCCTGTCCTGCTTGAATCCAAAAGCCAATGCCCTTGGCCTCTGCCTGCCCTGCTCCTCACGGGGATAGGCTGGATGGTGGGGTAGCAAAGGTAGGTAGGGTCCATCAGGAGCTACATTCGACTCCTTTCTGAATCCCCACTGGCCAGCATGGTTCCCAGCATGCAGGGAACTTAACTAATTTCGTTGAGAGAATGAATGAGTGAATATTGAAGATCAGGGTGAGATCATCTTTGGTTGTTCAAATGGTCTGGCTTTCTAGAAGAGAGGATCTACTAGAAAATAATTTGCTGCCCCTCCTCCTTCCAGAGAGTTCTGCTTTGAACTCAGAACTCTCCAGAAACCTTTGGGAGTGGAGCAGAGAACCATGGGCCTGGATAGAGGTTAGGTGGGAAGCTCTGCTTTGGGGCCAACCAACAGCCAAAGTTGGTTCACCTCTGGGGCCTGTGCAGCCTGAAGGGCCCAGGTGTTAGCGTAGCCCACCCTGATGCCCATGAGCCCTGGAGCCCTCCAACCACAGACAGGGGTATTGACTAAGGGCCCCAGCCGCTATGCCCTCAAATCCATAGCTAAATTTGTGCTGGGGCCACACTTCCTGTGACTGAGTGTGCCAGGGATACTAAGGCAGGCTCATCCTGGGAGACGTAGGACTCCTCTGATGGCCAACTTTGGCTAGAAGTTGGCCACAAGGGCCTTGTGGAACCTTCCCAGACCATGCAGCAGTCTAGGATGCTTCTGCCTGACCTTTCTTGGTGTCTGCCCTCTTAGGGTCAGACTTGCATCACCATCTCATGGCTCTCCAGCCTTCCCCAGCTTCCTCTCTCACAGGTGTCTGGGCACGGCTCAGACATGCTGTCAGAGGACATGCTGCCTCTCTGCAGGGTTGCCCCAACACGAGGGTCTTAGTCATCCTCTAAAGGGTAGGAGGGAAGACAATCCCATCATCTTCCTCCATCATGGATTCTAGCACCTTCATGGTTCTTACAGCCCAAGGATACACCTGCAGGTCTAACCTAAGTCCCTCTGCTGCAATGGAAGTCCAGACTGCTCTGATGAAGAAAGAGAGCTGGACATCTGCCAGGGGAGGGTGAGGCCCAGGGGGAGCTGAGTGCCTACCTCGTCCCCCAGACAGGCCTCGATCAGCAAGCCCCAGAAGTCTGTAAAGGTGACCTTGTAGCCTTCCTGGCTGTGCTGACGAAGTTCCTCCCGGAATTTGCAGAGATTGTCTGGGAACAGGTAGGGCAGCTTGTCCTTGACCACGTGTCTCCGGGCCTCGAAGACAGCAGGCTCCAGGTTTTTGGAGGACCAGTCGGGGTCACTGTACAAGGTAGCCATGGTCCTGGAGGGAGAGAGGAATGGCTGACAGAGCTGACCCAGCCCTGGTCTGACCAAGCCTGGCCCTGGGCCTAAGAGAAGGGAGGCAGGTCACTGGGAACCCCAACCTGCCAGGAGAGAAGCCTGGGGGAGAGGGGGTGAGGCAGAGGCCTGGTGGGAGGTAGGGGGGAGGCGAACATTATTACTCATAATCACAATTGCTACCCTATCTTGAGTGCCTACTATGTGCTGGGTACAACATGTCAGTTAAGATGGAGATTCTGGACCCAGATGCTCAAGTCCAGCTTCTGCCCCTCACTAGCTGTATGATCCTGGGCTACTTAACCACTCTTGACTTCAGTTTTCCCATCCGCAGAATGGGGAGAACTATGATAATCGTACCTACCTCATAGAGTTCTTATGAAGATTACATGAGTTAGCATGATGTAAAGTGGTTGGCAGAAAGTAAACACTAGAGCCAACACTTAAACCCAGGCTTGGCTGATTCTAGATCCTAGGCTCTCTCTACTCTGCCACATTCATTCGAGTAATTGTGATGTTAGCTAAAGATTTATTTTCTCTTTTTCTTCTTATACGTGGGCCATTGAGGGCAGCAGAACAAAGATGGCCTCAGTCTGCCCTATCCTGGATTCAGCTTTTCTACGTCAGGACAGGGAAGGGCCCGAGAACGAGCCCCTGAGGGGAACTTGTCTGCAGCTGCACAGCTGTGTGAACAGTGGTCTCTTCCTTCACCGGCCTCGTTCCCAGGAAGATCGGAGGCGGTCAGAAACAGAAAGCACCCTGCTCTCCATAAGGTTCATCCTGACAGCTTTATAATTTTGAAAGCTTCCCGAAACCACTGCAGATGATTGTTCTTAAAAGAATGCTTTGCATGCTTTCCCCAGGCCAGAAGACCCTCCACCCTCCCCATGGCCGGGCCTGAGCTCCTCCGTGTTTCCTGTCTGGCCCACAGACGTCCAGGAGGATACAGGTGACCCTCAACCCTGCTGGAAGCAAGTTGTCTTCTTCTTCTTCTTTTTTTTTTTTTGAGACAGAGTCTCACTCTGCTGCCCTGGCTAGAGTGCTATGGCATCAGCTTAGCTCACAGCAACCTCAAACTCCTGGGCTCAAGCAATCCTCCTGCCTCAGCCTTCCGAGTAGCTGGGACTATAGGCATGTGCCACCATGCCTGGCTTATTTTTTATATATAGTTTTAGTTGGCCAATTAATTTCTTTCTATGTTTTGGTAGAGATGGGGTCTCACTCTTGCTCAGGCTGGTTTCAAACTCCTGACCTTCAGTGATCCTCCTGCCTCGGCCTCCCAGAGTGCTAGGATTACAGGCAAGAGCCACTGCGCCTGGCCACAAGTTGTCTTCTTAACCCACCACCCGGGGCAGCCATTTCACGTGGAGGTAAAGAATGTGGGCCCAGATCTGGGTGAGTGACCCTGGCAAATTACTGTGTCTCTCCAGCTGTAAATAATGACAGCACCTCCCTCATAGCTTTGCTGTGAGGAAGAAATGATATGATCTGCAGGAAGTAGTCAGCTAACTGCCAGTGGTCCCTAGGCTAGGGTTGACACCTCTAGCCCTCTGACAAGGTGGCATGACACAAGGAGCCCTGGGTTTCCTAGTGGAGGGCTCGCAGGCCCACCAGTCCTGCACAGATTAAGATGCGGCCCTGGCCGAGAGGCCACCCTGAACCGGGGCCACATGATGACTTTGGTGAGCCCCTTCCACGATAAAAATTATTAAAATGTATTTTTCACAACTGTGTTGTATAAAAACAAACACATTAATGTTATTTTAAGAAAACATTTTCTTCAATCTAGAAATTCATTTTTTCCTTCTGATTTTAAAAGAATTAACATTTTAATTTTAAAAATTTACATTTTTGTGGGCCCCAGGCGCTGTGCCACCCTGTGCTCCCTCCCCTTGCTCACCAGCAGGAGCATAGGAGGTAGGAGCCCAGCAGCCACCTGACGAGGCTGGGCAGGGCAGAGGCAGTGGGCAGGTGGGGGTATGGAAGGTGGGAGCCAGAGCAACTGAGCTAGCTCCGCCCACCCTGCCCTGAGAGCAGGCAGCTGGCTCTCTCCAACAGGATGCGGTCACTGGCCCCAGTGGGTCACTCATAGTTGGTTGCTCCTGGGTCCGCCACAGCCCCAAGAAAATAGTAACATCAGTAATGGCCAAGAAATATAGCGTCTCTTGTGTACTTAGCACTGAGAGAGCCTCTTAAAGAACCACATTGGCCTGGCCGGGCGCGGTGGCTCACACCTGTAATCCTAGCACTCTGGGAGGCCGAGGTGGGAGGATAGCTCAAGGTCAGAAGTTCGAAACCAGCCTGAGCAAGAATGAGACCCCATCTCTACTAAAATAGAAAGAAATTAATTGGCCAAATAAAAATATATAGAAAAATTAGCCGGGCATGGTGGTGCATGCCTGTAGTCCCAGTTACTCGGGAGGCTGAGGCAGGAGGATCACTTGAGGCCAGGAGTTTGAGGTTGCTGTGAGCCAGGCTAATGCCATGGCACTCTAGCCCTGGCAACAGAGTGAGACTCTGTCTCAAAAAAAAAAAAAAAAAAAGAACTGCATGAAGTCAGTTATCCCCACTTATAGATACAGAAACTGAGCCTCTAGCCCAAGTCACACAGCTGTAGGTGGGAGGGCTTCCTGGGGACTTTATCTTGGGGTGGGAGAGGGAGGAGCTTCCCCAGAGACCCCAGGCCAGCCCACGTGCTGCTTCCTCCGGGTACCATCAGACAGTGGCTCCCAGCTCCTTACCAGGTGGCCCCCGACAGGCCAGTGATGTAGCTGGCACAGTTCAGGATGTTCAGCTTCTGCAGAGCCAGCAGGTGGCCATACATGGAGGTCATGGATCTTGTTCCACCCCCAGTGGCCATGATGGCTATGAGTGGCACCTAGGGGCACACAGAGGCAGAGGGTTGGGGAGGGCTCCAGGGGCAAAGCTGGGTGGGAGAAGGCTTGGAATGGCAGACAGCAAGCAGCTTGGAAAGAACGGTGGAGGAGGCAGAGCTGGCCATGAGGACCAGAGAGTGGGGCACTGTGCCCCCTGACACCTTCCTTTCCACAGGTTGGGGGGTCTCCTGGGAGGCCCAGAATTAGACCTCGGCTCCAAACCCAGTGGTTGGTGTCTGCGAAGGGCTCTGACACAGGCCTGGCAAATCATAGAAAGTCGTGGCTAGAAGAGTTCTTAGCACTATTTATCCAGCCCTCAGTGACCAGATGATAAAACTGGGGTGGGGTGGGTGGGTGACCTGCTCGCTGTGTGGCTCATGCTGTATTTGGAGAGAGGAGTAAATGAATGGTTGATGTGGGAAGCAGCAGGGTTGCCAGCTCTGGGGTGACAGAGGTTTAAGTATGCTTAAACTTAAGATCTTTAAGTTTCCTTAGAGATGGGAAGGAGGGGCTCTTTGTGAAGACTCACTCCAGCTGTTCGTTTGAGTGGGGACCATAAGATCCTTCCATTGGCGAAAGCCCAATCACACGCGCTCCTGGGCGCCCACCAGGCCTCCATCTCACCTGTCCACAGCTTCAGAAGGCGGCACTGGCAGGGCTGCCTGGTCACTGTCAGAGGTGACAGGCTCGGACAAAGGCACCTCTGTCTGCTCCCATGGGAAGAAGCCATTGGCCATGGAGTACAAGTTGCTTCTCTCTAGTTTCCTACTGCTATTATTTCTGGGGTGTGTCTGCACGTGCGGATGTGAGAGCTGAGACAGTTGAAGAATGAAGGACCTAAGGCCTTTTGGGTGGAGGTGTGTGGTGCACGAGGTGGTACAGCTTAAAATGTTCTCCTGACTGGGTCAAAGAGGTCATTCTGTCCCCATGTACATAAGGCACCATTAGTCACCACAGGATCTGCTAGTGCACGGGAGGAGCAGCCGGGGGCCCTCCCTTCCCCTTGTGAATATGCAACCAAAGCACATCCGGCACGGCCCTCACCTAGGCACCCGTGCCTTGGCAGTAAGAGCCACCATGGAGGTGGCACCAAGTCTACCCTGCACAGGGAAGGACCTGGGGTGGCTGGAAGGGTGTGGTGGGAAGGACCAGCTCTGCCCAGAGCAGGCCCTGAGCCCAGGCGGGTGACCTCGGATTACCCACCTCGTCCTCCTGCAGGTCCTCCTCCAGCTGCAGCACCTGCTTCAGCGCCTCAGCCACCACCACCTTCCGCTTCTGCAGGAACTCCAGCTCTGCCGGGCACAGGCTGAACCCCAGCCGCACGTCCAGTGTCTCGGGGCTGTGGGGAGAGAGGACCCTGGCTGAGCAGGCCTGTAGCCTCTACCTCCATGAAGCAGACATGCCTTTAGGGTCAGCTGGACCCAGGCTTGAAGCCCAGGTCTACCATATGCCACCTCTGCAACTTCAGGCCTCCACTTTCTCATCTGTAAAATGGGGCAAATCATGCTAAAGTCTTGGGTTGTCTTCAGTACTTAATGAGATAACAAATGTAAGCCCCCAAGGGCTTAGCTGGAACACTCTAAGCTGGGATCTGACAAAAGATAACTGTTGACACTTGTATTTGGGACTCTTTGAGCCCTCTGCCTCCTCAGCACGATCTGGAAAGTGCAGAATGGCTTCCCCCAGGTGCCTTGTATAGCTCAAAGCCAGACATGGCTGACAACGGGCCCCAATGTCCTTTTGGCAAATCCTTCTGGATGAGGCTGTACAGTATGGACTCTTCAGAGCTAGATAAACAAACTCCCCGTTCACATTCTTCATTAAGCCCTTCCTGCTCCCAGAATAATCTTCTGTGTGTTTCTGCAATTGACCAAAGCATTCACATCCCTGATCTGACTGTGTCTTCCCCACAGGTCTGCAAGGCAGGTGGGTCAGGAGTGGCTGTGACACGCCCAGTGCTCGCCCTGTTCTTATCATGTCCCTGCTCTGAACAAGCCCAGACTCCCAGCCTGGCATCCAAGATCCTGCCTGACCTGGCCAAGCTCACCTGAAACTACCTCTTGGAAGAGGCCATCAGGCTCTCAGAGCCCCCAGGAGGTGTCCTGTGTGCAGGCCCCTGCCCTCACTGGCATCCTCCCTTTGCCCACCTACATCCCTTCCTTCTCCAAGGCCCTGCTCCCCACTGACTCCAGGCGAACGGACCTTGACACTTTCTGACCTGAGTCTTGATTCACTAACAAAGCCACATCTCCTTGAAGGCAGGGCCTGGCAGCTCTCCTGTCACACATCCTCCGTGTCAAGCACAGGACTGCAGACACAGCTTTGAGAAAGAACTCTTTCTTTGGCCTCGAGAAGGAATGAATAATGATACAATAATAATAACAACAATAACATGAGTTTGTATTTGCCACATATGCCACCTCAATGGATCCTCAATACAGCACCATGGCATACAGTATTCTTGCTATTCTCCCGATTTACAGATGAGGAAAACAGACTTTGTGAGGTTAAAGAACTTGTCCAAGGGCAAATAGCTAAACAAACTATAAATAGAAACATGGTTACTTGATTTTTGACAAGGGTTCCAAGACAATTCAATGGTGCTTTTCAACAAATGGTGCTGAGACAACTGGATATCCACATGCAAAGAATGAAATGGGACTCCTATTTCATACTGTATACAAAATTAACTAAAAATCAACCATAGGCCTACATGTGAGAGCTAAAACTATAAAAGTCCTAGAAGAAAACATGGGAATAAACCTTCATGACCTTGGATTAGGCAATGATGTCTTAGATATGACACCAGAAACACAAGCAACAAAAGAAAAAATGAATTGATGCCATCAAAATTAAAGTCCTTCGTGTTTCAAAGGACACCATCAAGAATATGAAAACATAAGCCACAGAATAGGAGGAAATACTTGCAAATCGTATATCAGACAAGGGACTTGTATCCAGAATATTCAAATGACTCATAAAAATAAAAAGACAAGTAACCCACTTAAGAAGTAGGCACAGGATCTGAGTAGACATGCAAAAGGCCCACGAGCCCATAGAAAGGTGCCCAGCATCATTGGCCAACAGGGAAATGCCAGTCAAAACCACAGTGAGATACCACTTCACACCACTAGTATGAATAAGTTATGGGAAGGACACATGGAGGGTACTTTACCAGGGTGTAGACTTCATATGTAATTCATAATCCTCACCCTGGGGAGTCAAAGATGAAAAGCTGGTCAGGGATGACAATTCAGAGCCAAGCGATCCCAACCAAAGTAGCAGAGATGTTCCACACTGTCCAACCCTGGACTTGACTTGGTACATGTGCATGCTTGCACACGCATGCTAACACACATACTCATACATGCATGCTCCACCCCCACTCCCCAGTTGCAGGCCCTCACCACAGGCAGGGTCACGGCCTGGTCGTCGGAAAGGCAGTCGAGGGGCTGGCACACGGGGCCGTTCCTGTGTGTGCTGCAGCAGCAAAGCTGGAAGGATGGGTGGGTTCCATGAGAGGGGGTGAGGGGCTTCTCTGCCAGTCCCCATCTGCCCCTGTCCCCTGCACCTCCCCTAATTCAAGTGCCTCGTACCCTGCAGCTCCAGTGACTCCTGGGCACCTCCACGTGCACCTGGGACTGGAAGTACTTGGGGTAGTGGAAACAGGCAGGGTTTGGGCAGCAGGGCTCCAGGCAGGGCGGGATGCGCTGGGTGTTCTCAAAGGATTCGCTCACCATCACCAAGAGGTCCTTCACTGGGAGAGGGGACAAGGCAATGAGGCCCCGGAAGCCTCTCACTCCCCACCCCCACTTGGGCCAGCAAAAAGCCTATCTTTGGGGTGCCCAGGGGAGTTTAGAATCACCCGGGCACTGGTTTGAATTCCCAGAGATTCTTGTTCTGTAGGGCAGGGCAGGAATCTGCATTTTAATAAGGCTTGTGAGTGATGCTGACAAATGTGATCTCTAGAAAACTCTTTTAGGTGCTAACAGAGTCCTCCTTGGTTCTTCTCTGCCAGATCTCCCAAAGCTACCTGCCCAGTGCGAGAGAGTAGGCCCTCATCATCCTGGCAATCTGAGGGTGAGGCCTCTTCCTGCCTCCCTCCCTCCCCACTGTCTGCGGGTCATACTGCACTGTTCCCCCGACAGGCTGGAAGCTGTGCATGGGCAGGATGGGGTGGGGCAGGAAGCAGGGTCTGGTATTTGCTGATCCCTTAGGTCCCTGTAGCTATAAAATGCTAGGACTCCATGTGAATCCAGATCTGAGGAAGGGACACAGCAAGAGGGGCTCTGAGCGTGTCATCACTGCCCGCACTGGGTGCAGACCTCCACGTTGACCTAGGATTTGGTCAACCCGAGGTCCTGGCAAGGCGTAGTGCAGACAGGTGTGGGCACAGGGGCAGCACTGGGAGCCCAGGCCCATTTCCTGCATCACGCCTGGAGGACTCAAAGGTTACGTGGGTGCCTGGGAGAATGCGCCCTCTATAAAGCAGGCTGGGAGGACAGGGCCTTACGACCTCTGAGGGTGAGATGATTCTGAGGAGTTTCGGGCAAGCCACTGGTTCCCCTGAGCCCAGGGAAGCCTGACCAGGCCGAGTCTGATGTTGACAGGATTTGGAAGCAGCACCCCCTACCTCACCCAAGCAGGCAGAGGAGGTAAAATAGCTCACTTTTCTTACTCTTCCGCTGCCTCCTGGCTTCTGCATGAACCTCCAGGCAGGAGACTTGTCGAGACTGTAACAAAGCAAGGGAGGGTCACCAGAAGTCTGAGCACTTTTGGGCCCAAGAGGGGAGACGGACCCCAGAGGATAAATTAAGCACTGGTCTGACTTCAGGCTGACACCACGGAACGTGGGGTGTATTCACCACATTTCCTGAACCCAATCAAAGCATGTCATCTCACTCAGAGATTGGGTGTTTTTAAAACAAAGCCATCCTAGGATGTCCAGGATGCATGGTCACAGTTTACTAGGGGTCATGTTCTCAGTGGAAGGTCACAGATCTGACCTGAGGGAATGTTCAGCTCTGGGCTTTTTAAAGTGAGAACTTCCAACAAAACAGCCTTGTCAAGAAGTAGAGGCAGGGCCAGCAAGGTGGCTTACGCCTGTAACCTGAGCACTTTGGGAGACCAAGGCCGGGGAGTTCAAGATTAGCCTGGTCAACATAGTGAGATCCTGTCTCTGCAAAAAAAAAAAAAAAAAAGGAAGGAGCAGCAGAGGTAGAACAAATTCCTTTGCCACAAATTCCCAAAGACTCTTTTTTTGGGGGGTAAAGGTCTCCTTGAACTCTGGGGCACTTAAACTAGCTGTACCAACAGCTAGGTTATGAAAAATTTTAAGTACTGAAATCATGTCTAGAGAGATATTAGGGTTGAGGGGAACAGGACCAAGGCTGAATCTGGGATGAGGCTGCCCTTAGTGGATTCATTTATTGGGGAGGTTCTCAAGAGAAGGGTCATCTTTGCGCATTATGGGGTGCTGGGGTCCCAGCTACCTCCTCCCTCGGTGCGGGAGCCCAGCTTCCTATTCCCGTCCCTGCGAATGCCCCGTTTGGCTGGCCTAATTCAGTCTAATTTCTACTGGGCTCAGGATGGGACAAGGACCCGGGCTGGGCCCACATCTTCTCCCTCAGTTCTGTTCCTCTGAGAGCAGCAGCCAGAAGGATAATTACCACCAGCACGCCGTTGGTGACGAGGGTCTCGGGTGGAGAGGGACTGAAAAACAAAATGAGAACTCCTGGTCAGTTCTGTCATTCTTGACTAATTTCTCAAAAAGGTGACAAAGATGTAAATAGAGTCAATAACAAAATAGCAGAGACTTCTTGGTTCTTATGAAAACATTGGCTTAAGAAACCTTAAATTTGTATTAGGTTGTCAAGGAGGAAACTGGCATACACTTGAAATAGAATGGCCAGGAAAAAAAAATAGATTTATAGGTTAGAAGAAATAGAAGAGTTCCATTTATTATTATTTTTTTTTTCAAAACAGGATAACTGTTCTTTGTGCCCAACCAGATGTAACTGCATGGAGTTATAAGGATAAACACCAGCTAGAGCAGACATAAACTGTTCGTGTAGTTAAAATCATACATTATTCCACTCGGTGCTTTATTTAATTTATGCATTTAACAAACAGTTCTGACCCAGCCAGAGATGAGCCTGGTGAATGTTAAATGTTCTTGTGTTATAAAGTCAAGAACATAAGCCTCTCAGGTTGCAATTAGCCTAGAGGAGTCCACAGCCTTCCTCATCAAAATTAAGCCCAAGACAACTTTGTCTTAGGTTCAAGTCTTATTACCAAGCTTGACTTATTTCATTTTGCAAGCCACTTTCTAATTCAGCCAAGGAGTTTGTCCCTCCACAAAAGTCCTGTCACACCAAGAATTGTAGGAGAGAGCCTCAATTTTCTGCAATGTGAAATAAAGTTGACTCTAATTTGCCAATCAGCTGTTAATAGGAAATAAGTTCTCGCAAATAGTCCCAAGATCCCCTAGGCAGAAGATTCTCTGAGTGCAAGTTGATAAGCGCTCTCGTCCTGTCTCAATCCTCTCATCCTCCTCCCACATCCTGCTGACGGCAGGTTCAGGGGGACTCAGTCCGGCCAGGGTGGAGAACAGGGAGGAGCCAGGAGCGGGCTGCCCAATCACGGCGCGCTCTGCCCGTGCCGGGGCGGGGCTTGTCTCCTCCGGGCAGGGCCCTGCACCCTCACCGCCTCCTCCCCTTCACCATCCCGTCTCTTTCTTTCTTTCCTCTCCCAGCCCTCCAGCTCTGTGAGTCCCCAGCACAGTCACACCGCCAGGACCCTGGGTCGTCTTCCTAATTGAGAATGATTGGAAACAACCGTAGTACGTGTTGGGCCTGAGCCTCCTCCCCGGACTCGGTTCCAAGTTGGCTGCAGAAGCGGGGCTGCCTCTGCTTTAGGCTTTTTTGGGCATGTTTGTTCTGACAGTCCTTGGTCAAGGAGGAGACTCCTTGGTCCTGACCTCTTTCTCAGCGGAGCCTCAACAAAGCCCTCATCACTATGGCAGGGTGGCAGGAATTCTTTCCAGGGGCCACCTTCAGGAAAGCAGGGGGACTGAGGCAGTACTGGATCTTTAAGTAATGCTGACGTCAGTAGAACTGGATGAGCAGGACTGGGGCCCACCTACACTATTTAGAGGCTCCCAGGTGATTCTGATGCACAGTGAGGAGGCCAGGGTTAGTGCTAGGAGTGAGGCAGGAAAAGGGGAGGATGGCAGAAAGGCTGACCCAGCTCTGAAATGCTCGTTCCCAGAAGCCACCTGATGGTCAGGACCTTGGTGGACCCTGGGGGCTGGGGCCTACTCACCTCTCCTCCAGCAGGAACTCCACCTCCAGCTCTTCCATGCCCTGGGTGCAGGGAGAGGGAGAAAGGAAGGCAGCCATGAGCAACGTCTGCACATCTCTGCTGACTAGGACCCTCTGCTGGGCCAGGAGCCCCTGTGGACCTGCTCTGGTTCTTCCCCCACAGCTGCCCTGCTGTGCTCTGAGGCCCCTTCTGCCTCTGCCTGTCCCCAAGTCTTTGACATCAGGACCATCACTGACAACCCAAGGGAGGTTGGGGCATGGAGTCAACCCTCATGGGAGTTCCTCTGCCCCAGAACATTTCCTTTTCCTCACTACCCCCAGCTGTGGGCTTGCCCTGCTCCCCCAGCCTCCCAGGGGGGCTCGGTGCCTGGGGCAGGGGAGTGGGGGGATCTGGTTCCCAGCAACCTCACTGCTGAGGGGCGGGACCCAACCTCCCACCTATTCCTTCACACCTCTTGCTGTGTCACTCGAGGCAAGCCATGACCTCACTGGACCTCAGTTTCCCCGCCGGAATGTAGGCCAGGTGAGAGCAGTGATGCTAGTTCTCTGAGGTGTCCCTGTGCCTATTTTTGAGTGACTGACTCTATAACATCCTGGTCCTCTCCAGCTGAGACTTTCTCTGACTTTCCCCTCATCTGTCCTCTGTTCCCTGGGGCCATTCCAGAAACAGGACTCTGAGGGAAGAAAAGGGGGAAGGGAACCAATACTACATCTCCATTTTGTACTGTGAACACTGATAGGTGCCTTACTAGGTTTTCTCATTTAAGCCTCACAACAACCCTGTGTGGTAGGTGTTATCATCATTGCATAGATGAGGAAACAGAAACTCAGAGGAGTAAGGTAATTTTCACGGGGTCATGTCGTTAGTGAGCGATAGTGCTGGGATTTGAACCAGCAGCACCATCTTTTCCCGCCTCGGCTGTGTACACAAAGAGCAGCCTGTGGAACGGCCTCATGGGAATAACCAGCTGCTCCTTATGAGGCAGGAGGCTGAGGGCCTGGGCCCCTGCACCTACCTCTGGGTTGAGTGGAAACTTGACATGGGTTTTCTTTCGGAAGCAGAGCTTGGTGAGGTCATAGAGAACTGTCAAGAGATGGTCGTCTGGTGTCACTGTGTCTTCATCACAGACACTTAGCTCTAGCACGTTCTAGGGGAGAAGAGAATACAAGTCTGGTTACTACAGCTGCAACGACCCATTCCCAGCATGAAGGGCCTGACCCCGGTCCTAGCAAGGAGGTAGGTCTGAGGAATGGGGGACAGCATTCCAAAGTGGTCACTGCTCAGGTGTGAGAGGCATTTGTAGGAAAATGAATTCAGGAAAGAAAATGTCTTTTCCCTCCTTTCCAGCTCTCTAAAGCCTTCCTGCCCCCCTGCTTTCACTCTCCTGGAGTGAAATACTGGAGAATTTTGCCGTTATAAGCTTGGCACAGGTCTGTGAAGTGTGGAAGGATTTCATTTCAGCTGGGGGGAGGGATAGAGGGGGCAGAGCAAGCAGACCCCTGCCAAAATATAGAATGCGTCCAGCATTGGGTCCCTGGGAGCTGAAGACAGTCCCTTTGTGCTAGAAAACCCAGATCAGGGAAGCTAACATCTTAACACTCCAGGGGAGTGATGTGGAAAGATTGCTCTGATAATTGGTGGGGTTGGGGTGAGGTGTGTGAACTCCATCTTTTGACTCATTAGTCCCTAATAAAGTCTTATGGATGGTCCCAAAGCAACATGTCAAGACTCAAGTCATACAGCTGGACTTTGAGGCCAATGATCTCAGGCAACCTGGGCTATTCTCTGAGGCTTCTTGTTCCAAGGATCCCAGAAGATGTGGGCTGGGGCTGGGCTTGCCTCTCAGCTCCCTATCTAGTGGACATAAGGTGGTTCTGGGGGTTCCCCACTGGATGAGCTCTGTTAACCTTACTAGAAACTCAAGTATGTCCTAGAACCAGCGCAGTAGCCCCATAATCCTTAAGACAAAGGAAGCCTAAATTCTGATTTCAAGATACAGACTAAGCCTGCACCAAAATCCTCCTCCCTCATCAAACTCATATATATGATAGAAAAGGTATTTTAAAAAATAATAAGGATAAAGCCCTTCTGTTTCATAAAGAATCCTCTATCAACAGCCTGAGATGCCTCAGATGGGAGTTGATGCCTCTATGATAAGGCCAAATGTGTCTTAAGAGCTCTCTGCCGAGGCTGTTACAACTGAGGATACTCAAGGGATAATTCTCCCACAGGAGATGTGAACTTGACTTAGAGTCACCATGTATCTGAGGAAGACTGACATCATGAGACAACAACTCAATAAATGAAAGAACACACATCCAAAGAAATAGAAATAATAAAGCAATATAAAAAGGATTTAAGAGAGAGAAAACCACTTGGCTGGAATTAGACTGGCACTAGACCTACTGAACGGAATGGCTCTTCCCACCTGTATAATCTCCTGCTTGGAGCATGCTCTGGAAGGTACTGGGAAACACAGTCTGTTTTGGGGCAAGGGACATCCAGTTTCAGCAACAATTAGACAGGAAGACAAGAGACACCAGACAGAAGGTAGAAGGATAAATGGACTCAGGGACAATTGTGAGACAGGCAGAAGGAAGTAGTGGGTGAGTGGGAAGACAGGTTGGTAGGGCAAGAAGTAGGTAGAAAGAAAAACAAATAGGCAAAGAACACGCAAGCAAAGAGAAGGACAAGTAGTCAAGAGGGGAAGCGAGATGGTGGCAGGCAGACAGGCACAGTGCTCCATATCTCACCTTCACTTGGCTCTGGATCTGGAAGTTGAAGTTTTCATTCCACTCTGGATTTGGGCAGTTGGAGATGGTCCTAGTCCTCAGCTTCTTCTGAGAGGCGGTGGGCAGCCAAAGGCTCACAAAGCAGTCTGTCTGGCTCACTGGCCAAGAAAGACAGGGCAAAGGGCAAGGGTGAGGAATGAACCCAGGTTCAGAGAGGAGGGAGTATAGAGTCAAAAAGAGGCTTCAGGCAAATCCCCTCCAGAGTAAGCCTTCATCCCAGCTGAGGCCCTCTCTGGAGACCTTTGTCCCAGAATGCTGAGAAGGTCACAGACTGCAGGCTATAGGTTTCACAGAGGGGGACCCACATCCCACTGACCATTCTCATGGACACTGATGTCCTCTGGGTCTTATCAGAAGCACCCTGGTCTCTGAGCAAATGCCTGCTGTTTGGGGCAGGGTATGGCCACACTGTTTTCCCTCTGCCAGGGGGAGACCTGGATGATGGCCCCCAAAGGTCCAGTTTACCTCTTGCCCTAGCCCAGGACATCAGAGAAACCAAAGCAAGGCCCAGCTCTCTCTCTTGGGCTAGATGAGAGCACAGCCTGCTGTGAGTTGGCCAAGAAGGGCTCCAGTGGGAAAGGGCTTGGATGAAACCAGCTATTCAGCAGGATCTAGGAGCAGGGACCACCATGGCCATCTGACTTAATGCCTCAACTGCACCCGGCCAGGCTCTTCATAACTATCCTGGTCTCCCAGCATGAGGTTTATGACCCAAGAAACCTTCCCATCTGTGGCCAAGTACTTTTTTCTTCATTCTAAACAAATGACCCAAGTGTGATGTTGTTGCATGTGCTCTGGACAAGGGACAAAGTCTTGACCCCAACAGGCCCTCCCCAGATGGAGGAAACCCCCCCCCCCAAGTCTTCTTGTTGGAGCAGTGGAAGAGACAGGGTGAAAAATAGAAGCTCAGCTTGGCTCCCCCTGCATTCTACCTGGGAGAAGGGAGGAAGGGTACCATGGCTGCCTTTGTTACTCTCTTGGCAATCTGCTGGGGTGAGTCCCAGGGTACACACCAACTACGTAGAAAATGGTGAAAATCAATACAGTTTTCAGTGTCAGGGAGTCCTCTAGATAATAAAGCTGGTGTGGGGATGGGAGTTGTATACTGGTAGGATTGATCCGAAGTGGTTCATAATTATTATTAATAGTCACAATGAGAGTGGAACCAGGACTGTCCCCTGGAACTGACTTACTCCTACACTGTCACTAAACTGAGAACTTTATCAGAGTCAGTAAGCCCGGTTTGCATCAGAAACATTCCTGGCTTCTAATTTAATCCCTGATACCCGGTTAATCTTCAAGGACTCACCATTCACTGAATTGGAATTCACAGCCCTCCTTCCATTGAACAAAGGTGAGATGACACTATCCTTTAGATGTCATGATGATTATTTAATCCAGACAAAACAAATAACCACAACTCAAAAGAATAAAAAGAAAATGATGATCTCATTGTCCCCACCCATCCCCTCCATGCCCAACCTGCTCCTCTTCACCATCACTCAGGTGTCCAGGCCAGAAACCAAGTATCACCTTGACTCTCACGTTGCAGTGATTTAACTCTGTGTATCTCGAGCCCGCCCACTTCTCATCTGCACTGCCATTGCCTTGGTGCAGGCCACCATCCTCTCTGGGACCACTTCCCAACTGGGCTCCCTGTCTCCTGCCTTGTCCCACTCCAATCTCTCCCAAGAGAAGCCAGAGGAGCTTTTTAGATATGATCATGTCACTCCCCAGTTTAGGATCCTTCAGTGGCTGACCTCTGTCCTCAGGAAGGAGTCCCAACCACTGGACAGGGCTGCCCCCACCCCATCCAGCCCCAGCCTCATGTTTGCACCCTTCCTAACACCCCTCTGTGTGTAAGCGTGAGCACGCATGCACACACATCCACTCTCACACACATACATACACTCATACATGCATGAACATGCACACACATTCACACTCATACTCTAGACCAGGCATCCTCAAACTACGGCCCGAGGGCCACATGCGGGCCACCTAGCACATTTATCTGGCCCTCCGGATGTTTTTGCTGCCGCTGCCTGTCCTGCTTAGCAGCCCCCTCGTCCCGGGCCCACAGTGCGCACTCTCCAACGGTCTGAGGGACAGTGAATTGGCCCCCTGTTTAAAAAATTTGAGGACTCCTGCTCTAGACTCCAGCCAAACTCAATCAGGTCTCAAAAGGTGCCATGCTTTCTTGCCTTCAAGCCTTGCACATGCCGTTCCTTCAACCCTGAACATACTTCTGCCCTCTTCTCCTTTCACCCACCCTTCTCCCGGCTAGGAACCTCCTCTGGAAGCCGTGCTTGAGTGCCCATATCTGGGCCATATGCCCCCCAGCCTGGAGCACCCCCTACACTGCACTGCAACAGCAGGTTGACTTGTCTGTCTCCATTGCACTGTGAACACCAAGAGGGCCAGGAGACTGTGTGTCTTTAGCCCTTGGAACATGGTAGGTATTCACAGATGTTTGCTGAATGAATGAATGAATAAATGGAAAACCCCAACTTCCTGCTCTAGGGCCATATCAGAAGTATCCAAGAAATTCTGGCTGTGTCACTGCAGATCCAGGTCAGCATGTCTAATTGCCCTGCCAATAAGGAGACTCACCAGGAACCTGCTTAACCCTCTTGAACCCCTCCCTTGGCTTTTCCTGGATATTGGCCACTCCTTGTGGGCCTGGATCATTCTGCTGACATCTGCCTCCTCTACACTGGGAGCCTGCAAGTAGGGACTGACCAACTCTGCACCTACTAACTCTTAACACTTGCTTAGCAAGCATGACTTGATAGACCCTATCAAGGCCCGTTGCCCCCTAAAATCAGTTTCCTATCATCAGTCCATGCCTAACATTCTCCCATTAAACCCATAAAATAAAATCTCAGTATTTTTGGCCTAAGGCTTGAATCTCTAGTTAAGATTTTAAAAAAAATAGCCCCAGAAGAGATAAGATTGACCAGACACCCACATTCCAAGCATTCATTTGTTTTTCAGTTCTTCTGCAGAGAGCTGTTTTCCACATCAAAGTTTGGGTAGGAGAAGGCAGCCCAAGGAGGGGGTCATCCTGGGGAGGGGGGGTGATGAGAGAAGGTCAGTAAGGGCCCAGACGACATCTGGGATGGGCACCATTGGCTGACTGTAAGGGTAGTGACTGTCGTGTTGGCAATGAAGAATGGTTAAGCAACAGTGACCCAATTCTGAGAATTTCACAGAAGACAGGGGATTTTCTAGGCAGAGATAGGTTCTAATCCTTGTTCCTCAGGCAGTGACAGAGGGCTTGGTCATCTGAATGATATGTCTCCTTTCCTGGAATGTGGGTGGCAGAGATGACTCAATTATCTTTGCGGATATTCAGAACATTGTCTCCCTAATACCTCCGGAGCCACCTGCCTGACACCCCTTGGGGTGCTGGTTTGGGTTGTGTTTTCTGAAGAGGAATACAAGCTCCTGACAGCTAGGGAGTATCTGGGCCAATTGCCTCCCAGTCCTGGCCCAGGGCTCTTTTTAGTTATTGATGAAGGGTCAGCCCTGAATCTCTGCGTGTTCACTGCCATTCAGCCTCTCTGAAATCTTGGGAAGCTCAGGCACAGGTGATAAGACTAAATTGGAGAGCTGTTCATTTTGGATTCGAACTATAAGGGAACGATTTGGGGCAAGAGTAACCCAGGACCTGAAGGGCATCAGGACAGTCTCAAACCTAACCCTTGGAAGGCAGCAACACATCCCTGCCCATGACAGTCCTGGAGTCCAGACACAGTGTGACCAGGGCTGGCCCCCCCGGATGCCATATATGCTCTCCACTTGTTTATCAGGGGAAACGAGGAAAACATAAGTAACATGGGGGTTCCCAAAGGCAGCCTACCTTCCCAAGGAGCGTGTGGGAAGGGGATGAGGAGGCCGGTGGAGCCAGACCTCGGCCTGTTACTCTAGCTGCCTGCCCCTACCCACTCCGCCTCACCCTCTGAGTGACAGGTGTGGCAGGAGGAAGACAGAAGAAAGGGCCCTGGACAATCGGGAGGTCTGAGCACACAGGTGCAGGCATGCAGTGTAGGCGTGTGGGCCAGGGTGACTCGAGGGGCTGGGACCGACACGCCTCAAGAGGAGTTGGAGAAAGGTGAGTGCTGCTGTGGGTGTTTGCGGGTTGGGGTTGTCCTGAGGGATGGGGGTGAATCTGCCCAAGGCAGGGAAATGTCTGAGTGACTCACTGTGGCATGGGCAAGAAAGGCAAAAAAGGCAGCCACGTCCCAGGCCCGGGGGACACTCCCTGGCTCTGTAGATCCCTCACTGGTGGGCTTGGAAAGCCCTAAGAAGCCCAAGGAGAAGTCCCTGGCCCTCTAGTTAGCCACGGGGCAGACACAGGCACAGACCAGCTGTTTGCTGGGGTCGCTCAGGCTGGGGTGGGCTCTGCACAGCTTGCCCTCACCTCCATTCTGCTTGCTCCCTTTGCTGTCTCTGGGGCTGAGGGGCCTCCCTCCTCTGCCCTCTCCATCCATCCCTGCATGGTAGTGACGGCTTCCTGGCAAGTTCCCAGCCTCTCCGCACCTGTGCTTCAGAACACTCTGCACGTGAGCCCTCGGGAAGTCATGCAGTCCCCAAGCCTCTTGATGCCCACCTCCTGCCCCTGCCAGACCCCAGGCCCTCAATGCAGCCTTTCTTGGCCACTCCCAGCTCTCTATGTCCTCTTCTGGCTCTAAATTCTGTAGTGACAAGATCGGAATGTCATCTTTTATTCTATAACTGCTTTAGACATAGATGTCTCCCTCTGTTAACACGTACACTCAGTCTCATGGCTCTGTGTCTTCTCTGTCCCTCTCAGGCCCTCCCTGGCCTCTCGGGATCTCTGTGGCCCTGGAGCCATTCCTGTGTGGTCACCAGTGCATGATGACCCCACCAGCTGTGGGGCTTGGCCACAAAACTTTCTCCTCCTTAGGGGTCAACCTCCTCTCTGGATGGGACAAGGTGAGGCCAGCACGTGAAGAGGCTTTTGGTTCTCCTGATCTCTTGAAAGCCACCCAAATACAGAGGCAGGGGTGGATCCCGCCCACTCAGATGGCTTCATTGGCCCCCAGGAACGCAGCAAGTGCCAAGATGAAGGGGAAGTCAGGGTCACAAGAAATAACACTGCACTGGTGAGTGGAAGCACATCATGAGGCTGAACTGCCAAACTGGGTGCTGTGGCATGGCCCCCCAGAGCCTACTTTAGGACCCTTGTCCTGAGAATGGGCTCTGGGAGTAGGCTGGAAGCTGGCCCCACAATGCCTAAGGGCCTCTCCTTCTACTGTACCCCCAAACTCAGGGAGGAACAAGGCATCCTCAGCATGGGCAAACCTGGAGCTCCTGGAAGTGGATACGAGGAGAAGAGAGGGAAGGAGAGGGGTGAACAGAGCTCTCACGTGCAGGCACAGGCTGTGGGGGCGGGTAGTGCCAAGGTTGCAAGCAAGAGTGAGGGGCCTGGAAAAATGACAGAAGCCCCCAAGTCTGAACTACAACCTGAGTATAGAACACACACACATGCACACACAGAGGCACACATGGCCATTTCTCCAGCCAGGGCCTCTCTCCACCCAGACCCCATAAGCAGAGAGAAAGGAGGAAAGAGAGGAGGATACTCACCGACATCAGCCTGCCGGACGTTTTTCATCCGGATGACCCTCACTGTCAACAGGTGGCATGGAGACAGCCCCTCCTGCAGATTAAGAGCACAGTGGATTCACTCTTCAAGCATCATCTTAAAGCCATTGCCCCTGGCCTGCCTGCTTGCATTGCATCAACCCTCATGCTGCCCTGCCATTGTTTGCTAGGGGATCGTCTTCCCAGCCTGGAAGGTTCTGAGAGACTGGGGACCCTGCCTGGCTTTTCTTCTTTGTACCTCCAGTACCTGCAGCGTGCTGATATGCAGAGGGTGCTCCATAAAAGTTTGTTAAAGGAGTGAATGAATGTTCTACCCCAAATGTAGAATGAACACTAATGGCAAGGGAGTCCTTGGGTGCTTCCACTCTCATTTCCTCATTGACCAACTTCTCGGCATTCCCCTCCTACCATGCCCTACACAGGGAAACCCACCCTCTTGCCTACTTGGGAAGCAGGCACAGGGGGGCTCTGGGGGCTGAAGACACTGATCAAGGCAAGACATTACTCACCTGGAGATGTCATGCCAGGTGCCCCCCCGACCCCCGCCTGCGCTCAGCTGCAGCCCAGGACCTCTTCGTCCCTGTCGGGCCCCTTCCCCCCAGTCTGGTCACTGCTTCCTCCCCCCAGTAAACAGTCTGTCTCTCGATCTTCCTCGTCCCTTGCTGGAGATGCTGGTGAAGACTTGGCTGGTCCGCAGTGACCGTTCTGGTGATGACAGAAGCTCAAGCAGTGCTTGATTTGACGACAGGTTCCTGCCGGATGCCTTGCGGGACCCAGAGCCCTGGGGTTTCCACCCCTCCCGCAGCACCTCATCCCGATGCCTCACACCCTGAGCCCTGCCTGCTCGGCACCGCTGCCCCTCCCTCTGTCCCGCTCCTCTTACAGTTCCGGTCATGTGCGGGGTGCCCTGCCATCCTTTCAAGCTCGACCCCTTCAAGTCACTCCCACCACCCCACCCCCCGCCATGGCCACTGCATCTGGGGCAGTGGGAGTAGCTCCTTCAGGCTCACCCCCTCCCCTGCGTTCTGTGAGTCACCCATCAGCCTGGGCTCCACTTTTGTCCCCCTCGGACCCCGGTACTTTCTGCCTCTCAGATGCCCTGAAACCACCTTTCCCAGCTGCAGCAGCTTCTCTTCATCCCACATTTGCAAAGGACGCCCAGGTCATCTTCTCTGCCCGAGAGGGCCCACGGCTCCCTCCCCAGGCCGCCTCAGCCCTACCTCTGTGGGAGCCTCTGTCTCCTCATCGCTCTCCTCCCAGCCCTTCTAGTCAATGGCCTGTCTTCCGAGTCAGGGCCTCTGCGCTCGCCACCATGACTTTCTGTCTCTGTTGCCCTTGGGGTGCCACCTCTAACTGTCTCTCTGGAGGAGGAACCGTCTCCTCTCAGTCCCTTGCATTCTGGTGTTATTTTGGAGCACTACTGCGTGCCAGGCCCCGTGCCGGATGCTGGGGAGCTCCAGTGAACTGGAGGCAGAGGGGGACAGAGAGGTTGGAGGCAATGGCGGCTGGTGGCCACAATGGGGACAGCAGGTCCGGCCGGCCACAGATGCCTGCTGCCAGGGCTCGGGGCTCTCCCTGGCTCCAGAGGCTCCCCAGAGTCCCCGGTGTTTCTGGACTCTGGAAGCCTCTCCCGGCTGCTGAAATGAGGGGCTTTCCCACTCTGAGCCGGCACACCCTGCAAGCTTCATGCCTGGTCTCTCTGTTCTCGTCAGGTGTCCTGGTTCTGTTCTCAGTCTGTGCCTTTCCTGTTTGCATCTCTTTCCCGGAGAGCTTTCCCCAGGCTTAGGCGAGTCTCTGTTATCGTCCACTCCCAGCCTGTGCCTGTGGGAAATGTCCCTGGACTCCCCCACCTGAGCGAATGTCTGTATTTACAGAGGCTTCTGGACTGGAGTCCTCGACATGTCACCTCGCATATTCCACTGTCTGTTGCTTTATGCCCTTTTAAGAGGATGCAATTCTTTTCTCTTTAAATAATGCAGGAGTTTGGGGGAGAACATAAAGTATGAGGAAAGGAAAAGAGTCTCTATGATCCCTCCACTTGGAGACAATCATTTTGATGTCTGTCCTTCCAGACGTTCCTGACGTTCCTGGGGCTTAATTCTAACCAGAAATAACAGAAGGATGATCCTAGGAAAGCCGGGCTATTTAGTCCCTGAGATAGACACGTCAGGAAACCTGGGCTCTGCTTCCCCTCTCCCCGGGAGCTGCCTCAAAATCAGAACAAAAGTCAAACTCATAATTACAGGTCTGAAAATTCCTTTCGTGAGACCAATTTGGAAATACTGAATGTTTTCATGGCCAATAACTTGCTCTAATAGCATTCTGTTGTGAACCCCTTGACATGGGCCAATGACCATGTATTCTCGAGGTCCTTCTCGAGGACCAGACGTTTCTGGAAACAAGGCAATGGCCTTTGGCCACACACCACCACCTCCCCTTGCCTGACACAGTGAGCTCCTCATTTCTCACTGTCCACCAGGCAGAGCTGTGTCCTGGTCTGGCCTGGTGAGGAGGCGAGTCCCCTTTTATCAGCAGAGCAGTGTTGGCAAAGGCGGGACCTGCCCATTTGCGCAGGAGGCAGCTAGAGTCTGAGCAGGGAGCCTTGGAGGCCTCACCCTGGCAGGGGCCAGCCCAGGGGATGTTCTATAGCATCTCAGGGCTCTGAACCCAGGGCCATGGTCCTCTCAGCCGTCACAGTCCTTTGCCTGCCTCCAGAAGGGGTGGCCTGTGGCCCAGCCTGGCTCTTTCATGTCCACTGTGGAAGGGAAGTCACAGCTGCAGCTTCCCCTCGGGACCTCACTCCAGCCCCCCTGTGTTCCAGGAAAAGTCCTCTCCATCATCTAGCTCCAATACCCTCTAATGCGGTCGTCCATTTCCTCCTACTCTGTCTAGCTCAGCAACAATCACAGCAACACCAGCTACCATCTGCTGAATGCCTGCACGTGTCAGGTGCTGTTTTCGTACTCTCTCTCTGTTACCTTGCTTAGTCCTTACAACCAACCCACGAAACAGTTATTCTTCTCCCCGCTTTACAGATAGAGAATCCAAGGCTAAGTCCTCTGATGCGGGGCTCTCAGCTAGAATCAGAGGAATCCAACTCTACTCCCCAAGCCTGTGTTCATAACCACTGCTGTGCTCTCAGCTTACTTGAGGGTGGCCCTTGGACAACACAGAGATGGGTGTTGCTTGCCCTCACCTCCTCTTCCTTGGTCTTCTTCTTCTTCTTTTTTTTTTTTTGAGACAGAGTCTTACTCTGTTGCCCGGGCTGGAGTGCTGTGGCATCAGCCTAGCTCACAGCACCCTCAAACTCCTGGGCTTGCGTTCCCATGCCCGGCTAATTCTTTCTATATATTTTTGGTTGGCCAATTAATTTGTTTCTATTTTTAGTAGAGATGGGGTCTCGCTCTTGCTCAGACTGGTATCGAACTCCTGACCTTGAGTGATCCACCTGCCTCGGCCTCCCAGAGTGCTAGGATTACAAGCATGAGCCACCACGCCTGGCAGGTCTTCTTCTCTTAAAAACAGTTTTCCTGAAAAGTTCCTCCTATTTTCACCCTGAATTCCTCCAAAGCCCCCAAATGACCCCCCAAACTCTGGCAATCCTTCTACTGGCTGTACTCTGACTGGCTACATTTCTACCGACGCATTCCAGGACCTCTATTTGCAAATGTCCTGAGCACATCGGAGCTGCAAAGTTCCTTGGGGAAGTTCCCATTTTCTAGTAGCCACAGATCATGCCTCTTCAGCCTCAAATCACACCTTCTAGCTCTTAGGAGAGACACAATTTTTAGGAGATGACCACATTTTTCCAGCACAGAGATAAAGCCAGAAGGGGATTTGAGAGACATCCCAGAGGGACCTTGCTGGGAGGAAAGTGGGACTTGGACCCTGGGCCCAGATGCACTCCAGGAACCAGAGCTATGAAAAATTATCCTCTTGGCTTAAAATGAATGTACATATTTCGCTTCTGATACAATCAGCTCAACTGGAGCAGTGCTGGGGATCAGCAAAACTTCATGGCCCAGAGATAACTGATCGGCAGTAGAAAGACTCAGCAGGACAAAGCACGGTGTCTGTGGCCGCGCAGGTGGGAACCAGAAGCCTGTGAGGTTACGGAATCCAAGTTCACAGGGTTGCTGGTGGTGTGTAAGGGTCACAACTTTAGGTATTTGGACAAGCCTGTCCCGTGAACAGGATGCCCTGGCTGGATTGGGTATCAGGGTAGAAGTCAAAATATTTTACAGGCATGGTCAGCTGGGCTGCAGCCCTGGAGTAGGGACAGGCATTAATTCTTCCATTCGTGGGGGCATTGGAGGGCTCTGGGGTAAGGACTACGGGACACTCAGGGGTTGGAACCATTTGGCACACCGTACAGAGGTATATTTAGCCATGTTTAACACCCCACACAGCTGTGCCAGGGAGGACAGGCTGGACAGCAGCTTTCTGGGAAGCCATGTGGGAGAGAGGGCCTTGCTGCTCAGGCTGCAGACACACACACACGCCCCAGCTCCTCCCCGCCTTGGGCTCCATTCTCTCCTCGAGACCCACTTGGGATCGGCGGACCCTGCCAGCTCACTGGAAAAGAAGCAGCAGCTCCTTGAATCCCAGGACTGGCTATTATAGGTTGGATTTAATGCTGCCCCTTTCCAGCCCTAATTTTATAGCTATGGCTTTTGGCAGGGTGGGGGTGAGGAACAAGGTGTATTACTCTCCTCTGGTGTGCCAGGCCCTGGCTGCGCTGGGAGCTCCGAGTATGCTCTTATCTAACCCTCCAACCACCGCGGAGGAAGGCGTTATTATCCCTGCTTTGTAGGGAAGTCTGAGTTTAGAGAGATTACATCTCATCCAGGGTCAGGCAGCCCAGAAGCGGCAGAGACAGGACTTGGTGCAGGTCTCCTGACTCTGCCTGACTCCAGGGCTGGCGCACGCAATCCACCTGGAGGCGGCTCTCACCGCGAATTTACACCACCAGCCAGCAGCCTGCTCCAGCCCACGCAGGAGGCAAGTTGGTAGCAGAGGCAGGGGGAACCCCTCAGCTCCCAAGTCCGGGCTCTCCCTGTACTCCAAGAGTCTAGCTGTTACTACAAATCAGTCAAAAGAATGTTTCATTGCAGAAGGCTCCAGGGTCAGGCTCCTGGGCAGGAGTGGGGCTGGGGAGGGTCTGACAACCATGTTCAGAGGTGGTGGGTCTGATGCCCACCCCTGGGGTGCACATGCCCTCACCAAACCCTCCCATGAGGTCTAGGGTGCCTGGAGAGAGAGGAAGGCAGATCCGGGGATTCTGCAGGAACTCTGCTCCCCAGGGCTTCTCCAGGCAGGTCCAGCAGGTGATGCCACTTCCTCCTCCCTAGACAGCTGGGAGTAGCACCTGGTTCCTTGCAACACCTGTGCCAGAGCTTAGCCCAGCTTGGTGTCCTCTTCCAGAATGTGTGGCCCTCCCTAAAGGGAGACCACTGGGATGGGGACATTATGGGATCCTAGAACATGTCCCAGCCAGTCTGAGCAACATCCTAGATCAGGGATCACCTGGGAGAAGCCACTATAGCTGTTTTCATTTTTATCACCTAGACTAGGT